GAATAATATACGAAGAAAGTGTTAAACGAAGAACAACATTTCCTTGTGTTTTATTTTTATTTAAATAATTTACCCGATCACTATTAATACTCGCGTTACGGTGGCCGCGGAACTACTGACGAAACTTCGGACTCGAGAGTATCGAGTCACATCACCGCAAGGCCAACGAAACCGCGAACTATAAATATAATCAATCCAATATATAGTTTCCGCTAAAACTTATTATGAAAAGTAAACAATCTTTTACATCTAAATTTAATGTTACCACGGGTCACAATATAATTGCATCGTAATTCTCAAGTTTCCGGTAACCGTACGTATAATTATTCGAATAACAATAATAATAATCCCCTAACCTACGGAAAATATTTATACGTTCGTTTTTATTATAATCGTTCATAAAATATTATTACGTTCGAATAAATATACTTACTAATTAATATATACATAAATACGTATGGTTAAAACAATGGAGTATTTTAAATAAGAAATATCTCTATATATATATATATCTTATATCTACAATATAAATTTGAAATAACAATATGGAGGAAATATAGAAACTTCGAATTCAGTTGTCAAGACGACAGAATATCGGGAACGGGCTTTTGTGTTTGTACGTTTCAAGTTTCATCGTTCCCCCGGTTCAGCTGCTACTGTCAGCTGTTCGATATATGAAATAATGGTAGTATACAGTCCAGAGGACTCTCAGTATGGTATAGAGCAGCATATAGTAAGTATCAGTACCTAACTTGTGGGCATCGTTCGACATCTGTTCCCAAATATTGTATAAGCGTGCGCGTGCGTATATTTGTATTTGCGTACGTGCAAGAACGAACTGAGTGACAAAGGAAGGCAATAAAAGCAAAGTAAAAAAAACAGATATACACCGAAGGGAATCCAGAGGAAAGTGTAGAAAGTGTTCGTACGCGCACCAACCGTGCGATTTATGCAAAATCTTGCGCGTAACGTGGATGTATTGACGCAAGGATTCAAATACAGTATATCAGGACTAATGAACCTCGCAAATCAAACTACTGATCCTCAAAGTGGTGTTTTCTTTGTTAACTTCAATCAGGATTGCACGTAAGTTGTCGCGCCCTCGGCTACTAGACAATCGGGGACGTCGTCCTTTGTTCCCTAACCTCGTTCTCCTTATGTTCAACGAATTTCTTCGTTCTGATCCAAGATTGTACGCGGGCTGCTATTTACATAAGCTTATTTTCATCGTCCAGTCGAGCATAGTTTTATTTCGCTTCTATGCTGCACATACTGACGTATACGTTTCGCATGTAAAGCGTTTTTATTACCTGACCACTCGTTTCACCAAGAAATTGCGTTTCAACGATGCTGTTTCAGCAATTGTATCGTACGACCAAATGTTTTTCTATACGTAAAAAAATATTTGGTAATTCATTGCATTATCTGTTACTGTTGATATAATTTCACTACTTTTTACCTACTGTTAACCTTGTAAATCACTTTGGAACAAAGAATTATTGTTTCCTTGCAACGGATATTGCATTAATCGTGCGGGTCATTACCTCTCGAGTAATCCCGCAAGATTAATATTGTTAATATGTTTCTTGTAATTGCCGATATACCTGTGGTTTCAATGGCATTATAACTATGTTAATGGAGGTATAAATAGATGTATAAAATTCAAATAAAATTCATTGCAGATCTTTGGCTGTAGGATCAAAAGCAGGCTATAAACTTTTTTCTTTGAATTCTGTCGACCATCTGGAAAAGATATATGAAAATGGTAATGGTTTTTGTTGATTTTCGAGAGCGAATGTGAGATTTGAAAATATATTTTAAGAAATAATAATTCAATTTGCTTGTAATGTTTCGCATAATAGATACAGAGGACATATGTATTATTGAACGGCTATTTAGCAGTAGTCTTGTGGCAATGGTTAGTTTGTCATCACCTCGCAAACTCAAAGTTTGCCACTTTAGAAAAGGAACTGAAATTTGCTACTATAGTTACTCAAATACCATTTTGGCTGTGAAACTCAATAGACTAGTAAGTGCTTTTTATATCATGGTAATAAAATTATGTATATTAACATACAACAAAAGGTACAAATTATCAGAATTTTTTTCATTAAAATTTTTAACAATAACTTCAGTGATATTTTAGGAATGTACAAATTGCTTGTTTATAAGATACTTGTTCATTTTAGGAGAAGGAAAAGTTATTTATATTTTTGTGTAATTTTTTGCTTTATGTATATCCTAAAATGTATGAGAAATAGATGTGTAAAATTACAGAGTGATACATTCTCTGAAGGTAAAAAGATCACTTAATGCAATTCACAGAAATAGTGAATACAAATCTGTACTCTACGAATATAATTTGATTAATCTGTGTAAAGAAACTGTATAAATTAAGAATGTGTATTTGCAGAGATTAGTAGTATGTCTGGAAGAGTCATTATATATTCATAATATAAGGGATATGAAGGTGCTTCATACAATCCGAGATACCCCACCTAATTTAGCAGGTCTGTGTACACTATCAATAAATAGTGATAATTGTTATTTAGCCTATCCAGGCTCAAACACAATTGGAGAGGTTCAAATATTTGACGCAATTAATCTAGTAAGTGTTGATAAAAGTTTTGATTACCCTCTGCATACTGAAGTGTACATTTTTTTTTCTTTTAGCAAGCTAAAACTATGATTCCTGCACATGACAGTCCATTGGCAGCACTCGCGTTCTGTCCTAATGGTACCAAAGTAGCTACAGCGTCTGAAAAGGGTACTGTGATTAGGGTTTTCCATGTAAGTGTAATTAATCGTCTGGTGTCGGTTATTCGTTCAACTTTTAAGTTTAGACGCATTGCTGAAGGTTCTTTGTATCTCCGAAGGTTCACGATGGCACAAAACTCTTTGAATTTCGTCGTGGGGTTAAAAGATGCGTGTCTATAAGCAGTCTTGCTTTTAGCATGGATTCTATGTTTCTTTGTTGCTCGAGTAACACGGAAACGGTGCACATTTTCAAGTTGGAAGTACCAAAGGAAGCGTATGTATTTTTTCTTGTTTTAACAGAGTTAGATGTCACATTGAAATTTGTAATTTTCATTATAGATTAAGACAGACTACAGAAGAGTCGCAAACTTGGATGGGGTATCTAACAAAAGCTGTATCAGCATCAGCTAATTATTTACCTTCGCAAGTCACGGATGTTTTTAATCAAGGTCGTGCCTTTGCAAGTGTTCATTTGCCATTTCAAGGGTTGAAGAATGTATGTGCCATCACGGAGTAAGTATAATTTAATTTAGTTCGCGTGTTCGCGTTTGCATATGATATAACAAAAATGTTTGTGTTATCGTGCAGAGTACACGAAGTACTTAGGTTGTTGGTGGCTAGCGCAGATGGATATTTGTATGTTTATAATTTGGATACAACAGAAGGTGGAGATTGTACACTTCTGAAACAACATAGGTTTGTAATTTTATCAAATATTCTGAAAAAATAGACGGTTTTCCAATCGATGTTTAACGTGTAATTCGTTGTTTGCATCATATCATTGAATATTTTCTGTTTCCCTAACAGTTGTGACTTACTCGTGGTGCAATTGCATTACTAGATTTCTAAATAACATGCATATTTTCCTTTAAAAGATCAAACATGTAGTAAAATCGATAAAAATTTTATAGATTAGATGGCAAACGTGATGAAGTAGATTGTGCTAGCGTGTCTACAGCAGGATCAGGATCGGGAGAAACTCCTGCGGCAACTACTGCACGAATAGTACAAAATGCAGGTATGACTATATCTTGAAATATTTTTATGTATAAAGTATAATGTAGGTTTTTTTCAAACTAAGCGAGTTGACGATAAAGATATATTATTCGCAGACAGTAACATATTAAGGCTTATGTTGATATGAAATGTTTGCATATACTTAAATTACATCTCTTGAAACTAACGTTTTACATGTTAATAGTTTTCTGATGAAAAAGGTACAGAAATGATTGACTTCTGTTTTATATTGAAGCGTTGATACATCAGTTAGTTTTCGTATTTCCTGTGCAAAAAAAGAAAAGAAAATGAAAAAGAAAGCAAATATAAACACACACACACAAATTATTTTGGTATAAATCAGTGAGTAACTGAATGAGCGAGCGAGTGAGAGTTAGGAATTTGTGCTGAGAAAATGCACAAATTGGTAATACATCGTAACTAATATATAAATATAGCAATGCTTTGTCGATGCATATATGCATTTTCTGTAAATAATGTATTTGAACTCAGTTATGTTAAAAGTAATAACATACATTTGTACTGTTTAAGGCATTGTAAATTTACAAAACGAAATGAATGTTACATTTCATTTTAAGAAAAAAATCAATTTCTGGAGATTGTGGTACTTCCTCTCATACACAATTTTTGTATTTTTAATTATATACAAACGTTGAATGTAGCATTAATTTTATACATCACATACAACAAGTGTTATATAGTACTTTAAATTAATTTATATCATCTTGTACACGTAGATATGAATATAAATGGATACTGAGTAAAATGATAAATGGTTTTTTTTTCTTACACTGTGAATATAATGGAGAATCACATTTTTTGGAACGTAATACCTATCATAATTTCTTTACATAACATAGATATAATCAAGTGAGATAAATAATTAAATAGATATAATTATCAGTGACTATAAAGAATGACAAATTACTCGTTCATCAGTTTCATTCAACTCGCAATAGAAATTCTAGTGAAGACTATTTTGCAGATTGAATTTTATTTTGACAAATTTATACGAACCGTAATGAGCTCATGAAATGTATGTACATGTCATTCAGTTACTTGTAAAAATACTCTATTGATAGATGCTGCTTCTAACGGTTGCATTCAAACGAGATTTCCATTGAATTTCAATATTAATAGTACGTAATAAGTATTACTCGTTTCTAGTTTCTTGGTTGTCCTGTAATTTCTATCAATTAGAGCCTATTATGGATAGAATAAAATGAACATGACTCGTCAAATTCTTTGTGCAGGTAATTACTGATTCAACGTGTAAACGCGCGCGTGCTTGTCTGTGTATGTGTGTGTGTGTGCAAGTGTTAAGCGTAAATCTAAGCCGGTCATGTTTTTCATTATGCATTTGATATCTTCTTTCTTTTTTTTCTACTTGCTTCTAATCCCTTACAATTAAATAGGCAATTTCTTCAGGGGGCTAAACAGAGCCCCTCTCAAAAAAAAACAATTGACCTTACTTGATGTAATTTTTTTCTTTTTATCGTCCATTGAAGCCTGCGTAAATAGCGACACGGATGTGTTACGCGGACGTTCGTCAGACTCCAAATCAGGTACTGGTATATCCGTTTTTTTGCCTCTCGTTTATTTCTTGCACATCTTCAAGTCACGATC